CTATACTTACGAATGTAAACATAATATTAGCATCATATAATGAAGCATAACAGCCAAATGCAAACGCGGCAAATTAAGCGTGTCACCATGTATGTTCATATAGCTTTGCCATACGCACAGGTTGCTTGGTAGCTTTTCTGTATTAAAAACGGATATTGTGTACACTTATATCTAATAATATTTATACTGTATGATTAAAATTTTAGATAACTATACTCATGTACTTGTGCACTCCATGTACGAAACCTCTCACCATTAAAGACCATTCAACGTATGCATGACGGCGTTACACTACCGAACTAAGGCACGCGTTCACTCACCAATACCCCGTGTAGACAGCAAATTTGATCATACATCAAACTAGTCCGGGCCAGGCATGCGCTAAATTTTTGCAGTATGTACACGCTAGTGCGGACCAAGTTAGCCCCACGAATGGAGGTGGGCCAGCCCTGCTTCGAAGCGTGAAGTTATCCCGTCCAGGTTATTACCCGCGCTAAATTGTGTGGCCATCGCACTTAGAAATATGTAATTTTTTTCTCCGCGGTAGAAATAATTCAACCACGGTTAAATTATGGCCCTTTTACCCAATCAGTAAACATCAACCTTGTTACACATTATTTATTGCTATTGGCGGTAGAGAATAATTCAACCGCGGTTAAATTAGGAGTAACGAGGCCTCCCGATTGGGTAAAAGGGTCATAATTTAACCACAGTTTAATTATTTCTACCGCTGTAAAATAATTTATCCTCAGTTAAATTATGTGTAACACGACCTCTGATTGGGTGAAGCGCCAATCATTTTACTGCAGTTAAATTATTTCAGCCGCGGTAAAAATAATTATTTCTGAGTACGACGCCCAACCATAGGCGCTGGCTAAATTTCGATACATGCTCATAGCCTTGTTTGGGTCGCATAAAAGCACAGTAGCTTGTGAAATTGTGTGTGCAACTTTGTTTTTGATCTTCACTTCACCAGAGTCTAATTACAACTTGGCCAGAAGAATCTATCCAGGATGTAATGGAATGTTCATGTTTATACTTCCATTGCTGATAAAATGGCTCAATTTAATTATAATCGGATACCCAGATTCGATTATACGCCGGCTGCAGCTTCTGCTGTCTATTCAATCACCTTCACTTGTTATTCTGCTATTACAATAATACAGTATAAATCCTAGTAATGCTATCGGTGATACCGTTGTTTAACCGTCTAACATTGCTGTCTGCTGAGTGACGTAACAAGCTAAACTGAGCATGGACAGTCAACCCTTGCCTAACTTAGCCCGGTTGAGCCCGGTGTGTCTGTACTCTGTACGCTGCGATTTAGCGCACGCCTGGCCCAGGCCTGGCTGAGCTAGTTTGATGTAGGATCAAATTTTGCAGTCTGTACGGGATATAAGATACCGAGAAAATTATGAAAGGCATTGAAGCAAACGACTAACAACGGAAGTGCAATACACTGTACAATAAAAAAATACATAGCTCCACGCCGAATCTTTTAGTGCATGAGCATGCTGGCACATGTGTGCGCACAGAGATGCAGTCAAGACAAAGACTAAACAAAAGCCATGGACTGCGAGAAGAGGAATGCAGTGACTTGCCAAGATAACTTGTGGTGAGGCGCTTTACATCTGCATTGCAAACAATTATACCCACATATACATAGCAGGTATGATAACAAAAATAGATAAATGTAAAGAAAGGGATAATAAATTCATAGTACATATATATAAATACCGCTTACCTGCAACCTACTATCGTCACCTAAATAGGTATTTTGCCTATCGCCATTATGCCAATCTAGAATTTGTATCTAGCTAAAAGGTGTTTCCCAAATAAATGCTCACAAATGCTGCTTTCGCTTGCAGACTACATTAATTAGTGTTTAGTGATATTGTTTGCATTTAGGTGCAATGTTTCTGCACTACTAAATACATGCAAAATACATTCATAACATTTAGATATGTACACGCTATGCCCAAGCATAGCAAAAAATTATTCTAGACACATTTTATGTCAATCACCAATTATTTAAACTGCCTGTTTCTATAAAATCAATGCATGCTTTCAAGAGCACATAAACTATGTGGGTGCACGATAGTGATGGGAAAGATGGGTCATGATGGGTGGCGGACGGTAGGATAGTCGTGGGGAGGTGGGGTCGCGATGGGTGGCGGACGGTAGGATAGTCGTGGGGAGGTGGGATCGCCATGGGTGGCGGACGGTAGGGTAGTCGTGGGGAGGTGGGGTCGTGATGGGTGGCGGACGGTAGGGTAGTCGTGGGGAGGTGGGGTCGCAATTGGTGGCGGATGGTAGGATAGTCGCAGGGGAGCTAGGAGGCCATTATGATGGGACGGCTATAGGGTAGTGGTGGGCGAGGTAGGGGATCGTGATGGGTGGAGGTCAGTTGGGCTGTCGTAGAGGAGGTGGTGGTGGTGGGGGATGTAAAAAGCTATTATGGTTGAAGGGCAGTAATGTTACTATTCTGGTTTAAGGATGGTAGGGTAGTGGTGGGGGAGGTAAGGGGTCGTAATGGGTGAAGGGCGGTAGGCTGATGGTGGCAGTGGTGATGATTTGGGAGTAGATGTGAGAGATTGTAATTAGTGGTAAGGTGGTGGGGTGGGGAACACATGAAGCTGCCTAAGGAATTGAAGCCCATCCTCAAGTCCGTCGTCGTAGAGACTTCGTCTGCGCGGCACCGTTACAGCATCTCCTCATCTGATGAGCTTAGCGTATCACAGTCCAGCAGACGCACCCGGTCGCTCCCTGGGAACCGTTGCCGTGCCGACCGCCGCCGCCGTGATGACATCAATACCGGCACCCTCTCTGTGTTGACGTTTATCGCCTGCACGCCCCCCGCTATCACATCGATGCCCGTCGCCGATGATCCCTCCGACGATGCATCGTAGGGGGCGCCGGCATCCCGACGGACACCTGTGCCGTCGCACTCGCCACCCGTTAGGCCGCACGGTGCTAACTCTGTGTCCAGCTGCACTCGCCGCAACGGCGGCAATGATGACAACTCGTCCGTGTCCAGCTGCACTCGCCGCGACGGCGGCAATGATGACAACTCGTCTGTGTCCATCTCCGCGTCGCACGGCAACAGCGGTGCCGTCATGACGACCTCCGGTTGTGGGAGTCGAATGCCGGCAACACCCTTGCGGTCGGGGATACCAACGCGGTCACGCTTGACGCGGCGGCGGCGGTGCGGGTCGTTACGCCGTGTCTGTACCATGCTGTCAAAGTCGACGACGTAGAGGAAACCAGCGATGAGCAGCTCAATGCGCCGGCGCGTTGCCAGGTACGCGCTCTCAATTTCCGCACACGTCCGCTCATCGTACTGCCACCAGCCACCGCGGCCCTCATAGTACCACGTGTGCACCTCAATGCCGCTCCCATCAGCGGCGGCTGCTTCCGTCACCGCGGGCGCGGGCTTCGGTGGTACGAGGTCGTGGGGGTCAAGCAGCTCCGGGTTGAGCAGGTAGTCGTTCGGTATCACCTGCCGGCATAGGGCGCAACGTTTGCTAAGGTTCGCCGCACCCTTCACGCAGAGGAAGCAGAAGACGTGGTTGCATGGCAGACGTACAGGCTGGATGCATGTCTGCAGGCAGACAGGACACTCCTCAGCATCTATTGACACAGAAAGAGAAAGAGAGAGAACATGATCACAATAAGATAGAATTGTCTATTATCTAAAGATAAGAAAATGTCCACAGTCTTTTTTCTCACTGTAAGACAGGATGCTTCTATAAATATAATTAATTTCCCTCACAGTAAATAAGTCTCAAATGTAATGAATGCCTAGTTAGGCATGCAGGGTTCTCCCCAGGCATGCAGGGTTCTCCCCAGGATGAAATTGAAACAGGGGGAGGAGAGGGGGAGGGGAAGGGGGGGAAAGGGAGGGGAAACGAGGGGGGTCCGGGGGGCGTGTTTTTTTTACCGTACCACTAATTAATGTGTGAAATCGCCACCACACCATAGACGGTATTTGGGGTTCTTGTATATAGATAGCCGAGTCTGTGTACAGTTAGTGTTGGGTTCGGGACAGGTTAACTGTTTGTACTTGTTTATGGTCTGCAGTGCATGCGTGGTACGGTAAAAATACACGCGCCGGTTGTCCTGGTCGAATGGGAATTCTTGCCGATGGATTCCCGCGCTGTCAAACTTTTATTGTGGTGGAATTTAATCGGGGCGGAGGTAATTTAAACGGGGCGCAACGATTGAAACAGGGGGGAATTTTCCCAAACGGGGCGCGCGCGCGCCCCGTTTGCGCAACGTAGGGAGAACCCTGGCATGGTATGCGATTTAAAAAAAATAGGTATTTTGAGTTTATTAGATAGCCCCAGTCAAAAGAATCACAACACACTTTATTGTCATATTATCACTATCAGAGTCAGTTTTGATAGCACTGCAGTGAAATCTAATCCAACTAACAATGGTGCAGCATGTATTCTGCAGGAGTCAGTCCACTGAGACTGAGAGTCAAAGTAGCTTTTATTTTTCACTGTAATAGTAATTTTACCTGCAGTAAACTAAACACTAAAGTCCTTGAACACTGCACCACTGGGTAAATACATGTAGTCGTGTAATCAATCCACTAACTAGTGTCTGTGCTTTAAAAACAAATTAATGTGTCTTTTTAATCTTAGCTATTATAAAGTTCATCATATAATTTTGTTGTCTCAAATAACTTGGCAAGGGATTCATATCTTAAATGTCAAGGGGTGAAGCCAGATGAGACGGGATACTAGAGAAGCGTTGCCGAAAGGAGGTGTTGACCCGAAGTGCTGAGCGCAGATCTTGCGCGCAGTTCCGCGGCAAGGCGCACGCGACCGCGGGAACGTCCTACGACAGTATGCAGCGCTGGCAGCTATGGATCCGTGCGCCGAATGCTTAGGCCAGCGCACGCATCCATAGCTGCCAGCGAACAGTCCACAATTTTAGTGGGGGACACAGAGGGCAGACATTTGGGACGTGAACAGTGTTCACTTGTTATAAAAACATAATGTCTCTGTTCGTAACCGAGGTGTGTCACGTAAAATCACAGAAAGACTGACGAAATTTTCGCGTTCGCGAACCTTGCCCAGTAATGGAAATGGCTGCAAGGACAAAGGCTATATATATAAACTGGGACTCGCTCCCACCTCGATTACCCATCGAGTGACTAAGCTAAGCCGAGAACACGTAGCAATGCTGAGAGGGTCTATGTCCCCCGGGGTACTGCCGGAACGTACCCTGGGTACGGTCTGATATACCGGAACGTACCCTGGTACCATCTAATATGCCGAACCGTACCTCGCCTACTCCACTAACGAGTCTAGGGAGTCGCCTACGCCTACTCCCAAACCTGAACCCGAACCCTAACCCAAATCCTAACCCTAACCCTAACCATATCAAATAGTGACCAAGGTACGTTCCGGTATACCGGACCGAACCCAGGGTACGTTCCGGCAGTACCCTGGGGGACATAGACCCTCTGAGCATTGCTACGTGGTCTCGGCTTAGCTTAGTCACTCGATGGGTAATCGAGGTGGGAGCGAGTCCCAGTCTATATAGCATTCTCTTTGCAGCCATTTCCATTACTAGCTTCGTCATTAGATCAGGGGTCACCTATGTCAATAAATCTTAATTTCGTTTCAAGAATTATGTAGATTAGCACAACCTATGCATTTTTGGAAGGTTATACAGAGAATTCGGAAAACAATGTTTAATTGCGAGATACGGCATGGCCGCCGATTTTATAAATTTTCAAAATGGCGCGCCATAAATAATATTTGGCGCTATTTCTGCTGCTAATACGCTAACAAACTTTTTAAGAATATGCTAATCCTATGTTTTCAGGGACAAGGAATCCAATGAAAGTATCGAATAGTTATGGGAACAGGTAATACAAGATCAAAGATTTTAACTTGCAAAATATCTGTTCTTTATATTCGCGAAGTCGGCAATAATGAAATACATCCATACATGTTTAATTGTTAACAGGGCGTTAAAGGAGCAAGATGTGGTCAATCATTTATATCATTAGACAGCCATGAAAGTATAGCTAGTACAGCGACAGCAAAATACGACTGGCAGTCTGTAACATACACACATGTTTAGCAGAATGATGCCATTTAGAGTTCATCTACTGTCCTGTTGTACATGCTGACAAATACAGTCTGCATCATTTTGCAACAGTCCGCTTTCCACAGCAAGACAAGCAGTCGTGCAGTTAAGTCACTTTCTCTCTACTGAGCACTCTGGGTTGAGCATTAGCTTTACATGACATCTGACTAACGTCGACATAGCCTGTTTGCTGGTTAGAACTTTGGGCGGTGAAGGTGAGATGTGACCTTTGTCGTCCTGATGTGACCATGTTTGGAGTGGGTCAAACAACTGTTGCCACATGAAGGTGCTGCACCAAACTCTACTCGTATCGCCAGACGTTCGATCTATGCGTCCTAAAGGGCACCAGTTGTTGAGAGCACAATTGTTACTTTCTGGCAGATGTTATGCACAACAGATGCCATCTAGCGGTCTAGGGGATACTGTGCGATGCTGACATACTTTGGGCAGACGCTAGGCATGACAAAGCTGGCCAATATCGTCCTTATACCGTCCTGCGTTAGATCGTTGTCTCATGGTCAGTTTCATTAGTGCTTTGACATTATGTCTCCTTTCAGCTTGACTGTAGTGAATTTGAAACCATTTCGTTTACTACTCCTGAGCATGACGCGACAAATTTGGTCCCCTGCCCAGTGAAATGCGTGGAATACAGTTTAACAGTGTTGCCTTGTTCTTCCTAGCGCTCTGCCAGATGGGGCCCTACCTCCACATACCTGATTACAGTGCGCATCGATGTGTATTTTGCAGAGCTTGTCATAGGCGGCAACAGCCAGAACTAGGGCGATCTGTATCTGGCGGTGAAGAAGACGAGCTCGTGTTGGTGATAAACGTTGGGATGCGGCTTGCGCTAAGCTGATCATACATGGTGTCAGCTTCTCGTGGTTGTTTGGGTCAAACTGCAATGCTCTGGTTGCTTTTATGGCCCGATGCTGACGTGAATGATTTAATTAGGGGAGTTTGCGTTATATTTCCAGTGTTGCCTCAGCAAAAGTATATGGTTAGATTCGCTTTCGTCTTTTCGTGAGAGTAAGAAGCGGCCACTTGGTTATGTTTGAGTGTTTGTATCATGCTGCAATGTGGTACATCTGGAACAGGGTCTTCCCTTGTCGTCGTTCTGCTCTGGTTTTCTGGCTCAATGAGTCTGCTGGCAATTCGAGTCGATTACTCAAGATAATCACGTCGGATCCTGCTGGCCATGTTCATGAAGGTGGTCGTGAAATGTGACCGAGATTCTTTGACTGTGGTTGATCTGTCGCTGGTTTCTTTGTCATCTTCTGGACGAGCACCATTCATCACCAACAGCAATTTTTCATTAGATGGTGATGTAGATGGCGTTCCTGATCAGCAATATCATTAGCTGTTTGTTGCTTCTGCTGGCTTGTGCGCATCAGCATGAATTTCTGTCCGTTTTACCAAGTTTGGTCACAGGTCATGGATAGCTCTTTGATGTCCAGTACATGGTAGAGATCGAACGTCGTGGGTGTGCAAACAGTGCTCGGGGGTAGAGGAACTGCGTCGTTCCCAATCGCATGCTTCTGATCGATGATCACGGCTCTGATCTGCCTAGTACATCAGCGGACCGCTACTGATGCTTGCGTTTCTTCAGATCTACTAACTGTCCGATCTTTACGCGTTTGCTTCTTGTTTCCTGACATGTTACATCTGTGTTCTGCTTCTTGACTGGCTGCCCAAAGCTTGACATCTGCCATTAATGCGATCTGCAACGTAATCGCAATACATGCTTTCCTGCCAGTGTCGTCGATATTCAGGATCGCTGTGAGACACCTCTATGTGGGACATACTGCATGTATGTGAGTTGTAGAGTGGTCACCTTCAGCAGCGAAGGATTACCGTGACTCAGTATGGCAGCCTTTATTGCGATCAACGTTGGCATGCGTTTTCTCACGAGCATTGGCTTTGAACATGCAGATGCTCTTGTGGCTTAGTTTTACAGCGCAAGATTGAATTGGCCCTTGAATTCAGCTTGAAAAGACGTGACATCTCAGGACGTGGGCCAAGCAAGAACCGTTGACGAGCGTTGGATTTATGGGAAATGCCAATTAACCGCCAGGTATCTATATCACCTGTTGAGTTGTTTCACTGTGCGTGATCTGCCTCGCAATCGATGAACAAATGGGATGCGTACTGTCATGCAGATATGTTTCGTCTTGTAGTTACTCAGGTTTGGATTGGCTTGTTTTCAACTATGCGTCGTGATGTAACAGTGGCCAGAGGCCGCTTGATTTTATTCGATCCATGGCGAAGAGCTAACTTCGCTAGTGCCTCGCTCAGGCTTGAAGGGAGAACGAGATTGCGAATTCCTGGATGCCTCAGACCAAGGCAAAGATGATTTCAACTCGGAGGATGTAGTTCATCAAGACTTTGAACGATGCATTTTGAGGGATTTCTGCGCGTTCCCACATTTTCAGCTGTTTAAGTGACCTCGTCGTTACGTGAGGTTTGCTCAGTTAAATGCCGTCTATTTGGTCCTATGTCACGCGTTTCGGATTGATGCTTCTGTCACACTGTGATTCTTGCAACGAAGTTCTGGACCATTATCGCTGCTTCTAACGCAAATGGCTTTAGGTGTGGCTTCTGCTGCTGAAGAACTGTTCCAAGGACAGGCTGTCATATAGAGCGCACCACTATAAAGGCACGTGTGTGGGCACAACACTGTCAGATCAACGATCAATGCAACACACAACGCAAGACGATACACTCTTACCACTGACACCATACAACAACACAGCTCAGGGCACAGCCCCTGCAACACAAGGAAACCATTAGCGCTGCTCTGAGTATCCTAG